AAAGAGGTGTGTTAGGATCGTGCCAAGTGGAAGTCCGTAGTCTCCGCCTACCATTCTGTGTGACAGGCGTAAGTGTTAATGTGTATTATGTTATGTAGAGTCAAAGAGAACTTTTCAATCTATTTTTACAGTCTCTTCGGAATATTAAAACACACTTAAAAAGACAACCCATATATAGCTTATTATTAATCTACGGTGTTGCTGCGTTAATAATGAAATATGAATCAGAGCATTAAAGTTTTGGAGCAAAAAAAACACTCGCTTATACTTGTCCGCTGACAATACAAGACCATTAACAGCAGAATTGTGGTAATTTTAGCGCAAAGCGATGTATTGCGATTAGTTCTTTTAGAACTATAATATAAAATGATTTCGCTGCGATAATGTGAAGAACGTTACGTGTGGTCGTATTTATAGTAGTCAGAGAGCATGAGCCATTGAATCTTAATTATTAGTGGTGACAAAATATCCATGGCGTTCTTTTCAAGCAGATCTATTTTTGTGGAGTCGCTGGTGTAATCCAGTTGACTTTTACAGCTACATCAAATGGGAGGATGATGATGATTATGACTATGACCGAACATCATGTCTCCCGAATCAGTGTACTAATGAGTTGTCTTACCGTCGTCCAGATATAAGAATGGTAATGTATTGGACATTACCATTCTTATAAAAGAAAAATGAAAGTTACATCTTTTCTTTTTAATTTTTTGTTACGTAAATGGCATAAAGAATATTTATGCGAAGTTCCTTTCAGCGCATATTCGTCGGAATTATAGTAAAATAAAAACATTTTTTTAAAATATGGGTTTTATCGCGTTTAATTTTAATCGGGGGGCTGAGGTGTTTGACATCCTGATATCGTAGTTGGCCCGGCTACCTTCAGTTTTTGAATATTAATTTTAAAAAGGTAAAATTAATCGTGATAAAATCTGTAAAATTTGTGTAGTGTTCGCGTAAATATAAAAAATCATTAGAATAAAAACATACTCGACATTTAACTAACGAAATTTGAATTTCTTAAGTAGAAAAATAAAGAAATAGAGTAATTTTTTAATCTCTTCGAAATATTTCTGATTCACAAACATGAAAATATTCTAACAATGTTTTCTTTTACCGCAGTTGCGTTTAAATTAATATTTGCGGTTCCAGCAGTAATTGAATAGGGGTAGCCTGCAAAGAAAAAAATTTAAAACTAACGCTAAGCTCTTGAACTATTATTGTTAAAGTTATTATTATAATAATGTTACGTAAATGTGTTTTATACTAGTGTTATTATATAGCTAGGTATGCTGTAAATTTCACAGTACACGTAGTTTGACATATTGCGGACAATGGGGCAAAAAATATTTAATTACTTAATTAATTAATTTTATAAAGTTTAAATTTGACATCAAAAAACTGCATCGGAGAAGAGGAAAGCTACGTCCCAAATAAACGTTAAAGACTTACTATTATCATTCTATATTTCTCATTCGTATACGTAATATACATATTGTATATTATGTATACGAATATACATACATAAATATTGTATATATTATTAATATATTTATTATAAATATTATTTTTAATAATATTTTTTCCTGTTTATTTCATATTGGACGTTGCACCTATCCGTCAAAATATAAAATTATAATGTCCTTTTATGTTCGGTTTGTCAAGCAGAAATCGCTTAAAGCGATATGACCGCCGTTTGTTTTCCGTTATTGTAATAACTTTGTTCAAATGCAATAAAGAGTTATCTATCTATCTATACAATGGTTGTAAGCATGTAGTGGTCCTGGTCTCAAATCCCAGATCGGGCCAAAATCAGTTATTGGGATTTCCGACAAAAAATTCTCAGTACCAGCTCGGAGTCAGGAAGTTTACGCTGTTACGCTCCCGTTTCCCGGATTTCGCGTTAAACCATTTACTGATCTATCTAATGTGGAGTTGTATTGCCGTCCTATTGTATTTTGAGATTAAGGGTATAGATATTGCATCTGTATTTGAGCAGTGACCAAAAGTCTGAATATTAAACACAAAAAAATTTGTGTAAATAAAAACCTCTGGGATATAAAATTGCATCTATGCACTGTTCACATTCCGCAAATTACTTGTACCAAGTTTCATCGAAATCGGACAGTTAGTTTCAGAGGAGATATCGATTCGACACAATTCGATATAAAAACCATGTGGTTTTTATATCGAAATCGCTGACGAAATATACTGCATGCAGCATTAAATCGGAGCGGAATACAGCATACCGCTTGTCGAATCTTTTTTTACAGAATAAATGTGACAAACGAGTACACAGTCCACCTGATGATGCGCGGATACTGTAGCTTATAGACATTTAACCTCAATTAAGAATCAAAATGCTAATGCGATGCATCCCTGAGGACTGAAATGTACTGGGCTCTCGACCCTCACCATACGAAACAAAGCAGCATTAAGCTACTATTTTATGTTGGTATTCTGTGGTCCTACCCTAGTCGAGCCGACCCATTCTCGTGCTACAACCGTAATTTAGCTGCAGCTTAGTTATACACGTAATATATGTAGCAATAATTATTTGTTTCATATAGAAAATATTTGCATTTATATTAGATATTATGCTCAAATGTGGTAAAGTTGGACATTTGGTTGGCAAAGGCAATTACTGAGGTGTGAAAACGTGTGAAACGGCAATGTGACCGGGCTAGGAAAGAAAGAAGAAACTTACTTGAAGAGCTTGACGACCAGGAGTGAAAATTTCATACAAAAGACTGAATATGATTGAGGAAGGGATTAGTGCCTTGTTATCATTCACCTTTGCTCAGAATTGGGACAGTATAGTCTAATACTTACATATAATTTATATAAAAGTGGGCTTACTCGTATGTGTCGAATGATATCATCATTTATTTTAATGTCAAATAATTTCTAACTTATGTTACATTTTATACATCTATTATTAATGTTTTTCTAATTTCGTTATTTGTTCAAAGTTTTATATTAGTTGAGTGTTATTTAATATGCTTTTTAATGTGTTCTTAATTCATTACCGATATATCTCACAACAATCTTTTAGTCAGTTTTCTGCTTTATCCCGTTGTTTGAATCTTGTATTTAATTGAACTATTATTTCTAATGCTTTATTATTTGAACTAGTATTAATAATAGGTTTATACACCACATCCACGTCATATCAATAGGATCTAGTATATGTTACCTGCAATTACCATTTATTTAATGGTAGCAGGTATTGTAAACATGACAAGGATATAAAACAAAGTGTGAACGCAGGACACTGTGTAAATGGGTCTCTTCAGTCTACTGTGGAAAATCAGAATTTGTTAAGAAAGCACTTATGGCAATTTACAATGTTGTGTTTATCCCTACTTTAATATATGATAGTAAAAGTTCGGTGTCGAGGAGACATAAGATTAAAATTAATGGTGTGGAAGTAAGATGTTTTTATCTGGATTAAGCAAGGAATGCTATGATAAAAGAGTTACAAAGCAACTTTATTCTGTAGAAATGAGTGGAAGAGTGTGCAATAAACGCTCTACACTGAAGTTTTTCGAGCAAATTGACGATATTTTGAAGATCAAATAGTTTTATTAACTGAAGAGCGTGTATACGATGTTGGTTGTGAAAGAAGTGAGAGATCTGTTTCTTGATCGTGCCTTTTTTATAAGAGAGGGGGCAAACGAGCCCGCGGCTCACCTGATGGTAAGTGATTACCGCCGCCCATGGACAAACTGCAAGCCCAGGGGGAGTTGCAGATGCGTTGCCAGCCTTTTAAAAAGTAATAGGCTCTTTTCTTGAAGGTCCCTAAGTCGTATCGGTCCGGAAAAATCTCTGGTGGTAGTGGAAGTTGTGCGAGGAAGAAAACTCCTTTTAATTCGCACGGTGGTGGACCGCCAGTCATCCACATGGTATGGATGGTATTGCGAGTTTTATCGCGATGTGCGATGGTGAAATTGTACGGCTCAAAAAGAAAGCTCAGTCGCCGATGATTCGAACTGCTCTGCGCTGGATGCGATCAAATAGAAGGGGCTGGCACTGGGAAGCCCCAGCCCAGAGATGGAAACAGTATTGTAAATCTGTACCTACCCCACTGGGTGGAAATCATAACGTTCTTCAATCCCCATATAATAAGTTCTTGGGTTATTTATATTTTTAAAGTAAGGAACATAAAGCGTACATACGCACAACAGCTTTATGTCGAGAGTCTCTGGCTTATAACGAGAGTTGCAGGTCCCTTTTACGGGTAATGAAGCATTATAACTTAGCCCTAGAAGGTCAATAATGAATCTGTATTTTACTTCTTAATCAAGGTTAATTTAAGTGTTTGTAACCTCCCATAACCTCAAGGATTATCATACTAGCCACACTTGGTAGACGAAGTTGGTAAGTTGGTAATTGTTAAGTACTTTAGTTTTTTTTCTATAGATATTTTTTTGTTTAATTGTAATGAAGATGCTACGCTGCTCATCTCCTGTTGTAGTATTCCTCTAACGAAGCCGTTATTCATTATTTGTTTTTGCACAATAATGTTATTTAATTGCTTTAGTTAACTGACAGAACAAATAAGTTACTTAGGTGTGCAAATAAGTTAATAAATGATGTTCATTTTCATACAAGTAAGTGTGACAAACAAACACGCAGTTCACTTAATAGAAACGTCCTTCAGACCGAAATTCGGTCACGGAGGCTTTTCTTTCGAGTATCTGTCGAGACCAGCCATTAGCAAAAGAAAAAGACGATAGTGCACAAGCAGAAGAGTATACGCAATCGCAGGTACATTCTCTCTTTCCTCACTCACTTAGTACGTTGGGACTGAAACCCGACAGGACTGGAGAGAGCTCAGGCGCAGGACAAAGCGCTTTACGTGCGTTCCGAGGCAAGGGCGAAAAACCTACAACTTTCAGACTCCAGGCTTGTACTGAAAATTTCTAAACCCAATAACTGATTTTGGACCAACCACAATTTTTTCGACCATAAATTGAATCTTTGTTCTCTTTTCGCAGGAACTCTCCTCTCCATGGGTATGGGAGGCCTCGCAATGTTAGCAGGGAAGGCTCTTATGACTGCTCTAATGTCCCTGCTTTTATCTGCTATCATCGGCCTCAAGTCTCTCTCAGGAGGACAAAAGTCCACAACGTATGAAATCGTATCCAAGCCGATCTACAGTCACTCACACTCTCACTCTACCGCTCATGAAGACGTAGGGGGTTATGGACACTCAGGTTATGGAAGGAGTCTCAAAACTCGAAGACGTTAAACACTGACCGAAATAATGTAATGGAGTTAAAAATAATTTTACAGTAAAATATTGATAGAAATGAGTCGTTACATATTATGTGAATGTTCACTTCTTATTTATTTATTTAATGAAACTTAAATTAAAAAAAGTAAAAAAATATTAAAATTGTAGTGTTACTACAATTTTATTAGTACAAATAAAACAGTGCTTTGCATTTTCACGTAACTATTAGTTATTTAAGGTTGATGTTGCTAATTTATTTAAAATAATATTTATTGTTTAGCATAAGATTTGTAGATTTATCAATGATATCCTTATATAAAGCTTTATTTACGTAATTTACATATTTGTTTAAGAATAGCTTATTTATTTATATATTTATAAATAACTGTGATATTTGTGATGATTGACGTATAAATTGTTTATTTTGTATATTGTTTTAATATCTCAGTATTTAACCATTTATATTATAATTATATTTTAAAACATTTACAATTTAAAGTATTTTTTATAAAATTTACTTAGGTATTTATATTTTAACTTATTTTTTTTTGAAAATCGTGTTTTCTCATCTATTGCATACATTATATTATATAAAGGTAGTTTGTTGAGTTCCTTTTTAAAAATATATGTACTTTTATTGTAAATCAAATTTTAGATATTATATTGATATAACTTTTATGTGATCTTCGTCCTGTATTAATATTTAATACGCATATTTTATCTATGTACATGTGTGTATAGCTGATACCATTCGCACCAAACGAATAAATTATTTTAAAAAAATACTTCGTTTTATTTACATTCAGTAATTTCTGAATGTAGAATTATGTAGAATTATTCTTTCTGTCTTAAGAGATGACCATCACAAGTAAAATATCTAGACCAGGGATGGTACGTAGTGACAAAGGCGCTAGACGTCTAGTCCACGGAGTTACTTTCTATATCTATCAATAAACGTGTTGATCGAATTTCCTAAGCAGGGCACATAGTCCATATGTTAGTAAATAGATGCTACGACCCATAAACACTAACATTTATTCTCAGTAAAAATACTCATACAAAACAAAAAATTGTTTTAAATGAAATGTAAAAGCAGGCTTAAACAACTAAAAAGCATATAAAGTAAATTTTAAAAAAGAAATTTTATATATGGTAGAGCCACGCTGCAGTTATATTATGGTTGTAGCACGAATGGGTCGGCTCAACCGGGGAAGGAACACGCTCTGACAGAATACCAGGGTAAAATAGCAGCTTAATACTGCTGTGTTTCGTATGATGAGTATAGAGATCCGGAGACCCTTTTTTCCTGGAAACGAGGCATTTCACCTTAGTACTCAGGGGTGACAACGAATCTGCGTTTTGATTCTTAATCGAGGACAAATGTAAATGTCTATGGGCCACAGCATCCAATTGTCTTAGTTTGCTCTGTGGCGCAGTGGCTTAGCAATGAGTTGCTGCGCTGGGGGCCGCAGGTTCGAATCCCGCACGAAATAAGTATTTGTATGGCCTACAAATAATTGTTTCGGGTCTGGATGTTTGTCCTTGTGCAATTTATGTTTGTAAACTGCCTGCACAATACAGGAGAAAAGCCATGGCTTCAGAATGTGAAATTGTTTTATGTCTTTTTTAGTTGTTTGAACTCGGCTTTTATTTTTAATAAAAGTTTTTGAAGTTTATTGAAGTCTACTCCTTAAGAATCGTTTCATACCCATGTATAAAATACGGCATGAAAAATAGAAGGGTTGTGAAATCACATCACATCAAACAAAAAGTGAAGCCGTTATGGTTTTTCTCTGCTCAACATACTCACAAATCTCATAACGCGAAGTGAATAATACAAGTAATATATTTTATCAAACCAATATAAATAAATATATATACTTCCTTTGCCTATTGTACGAGTACATATTTTAAGACAATCGTTTTTTGGGAGTAAGCTCCAGTCACGTGTCGAAACTGACACGCACAATTTTTTTTTATTTTACCTTGTTTGAGAGAAGAAATAAAAGAAAAGAGAAGAGGAAAGCTGACCAAGGGAGTGCTGCTTCTTCATGACAACGCAACAGTTCAGACGGCGCGGCTCTCCGATGCTGCTGTACGAGACTGCGCGTTTGAGGATATTAACCATCCACTATACAGCTCAGATCTGGCTCCTAGTGACTATTTTTTTATTCCCAAACTTAAAAATAGACATTCGAGGAAAGCTATTTGCTGACAATAATGAGCTCAAGTCCGCTGTAAATGAGTATTTTTCAGGCCAAGATGAAGAATATGTTTTCAAGGGAATAGAAAAGATTTTTACACGAACAAGTAAATGTATTGATGTCATGGGAGACTATTTATTTATTTATTTATTTGGTCTACCAACGACTGTTACATTACAAAAACTTAAAGTAGTTACATTGTAATAAACTATTATGAGCTAAATGCACAATCAGTTACAGGTAAACACAACGTGCTATTTTAACATGTGACATAAGTACCTTTTACATTGATATAAGGTTAATTTTAAACTAGTTATAACAGGTAAAAGATAGGTGTAATTAATCTGGGATTTTTTTTAACAAATGTGCACGAAACTGGTTAAGTTTAAGAGAGAAAACATCCTTAGGATCATTAATAAACCACGTATTAAATGCGTTACACAGACGAGGAACTGGTGAATGTTTTCCTAAAATAGTCCTGCGGAATGGCGGATAAAATAGAGAAACAGGTTTCCTTGGAACCCTGAAGGGGATCCTGAAATTAAAAAAGGTTTAGAGTCTGAGGGCAGTCAATTTGATTATTAAAAATTTTATAAATGAATATTAGGTCGAAAAGGGTCCTTCTTTTAATTAACGAGGACATTTTAAAGTGTTTGAGGTTTTCATGATAGGATAACTTTTTCTTTGAAACTTTTGAGATGTGAGATAGATGCCATAAAAAGCGTTTTTGGACCCGTTCTATTCTTAATATGTGCGTGGCATAGTGTGGCCTCCATACAACAGGGCAGTATTCAAGAAGACTACGTACTAGTGCTTTGTACAAAGTGATACGTGTCTGTAAGTTTTTGAACACTTTACTGTTTCTAATAATAAAGCCCAGCATATTAGATGAGCGCCTAACAATGCTTTCAATATGTGGTACGAAAGTTAATTTGTTATCTAGAATTATTCCCAGGTCCTTAATTCTATCAACTTCTTTTAATGGTTTGCCATCAATATAATATTTGGATTCAGTTTTAGTATGTTTGCGTGTAAATTTAATAAAAAAGCATTTATCCATATTTAATTCCATTCCATTTATACAGCACCAATTGTATAACCTATTTAAATCATGTTGCAACAAGAGAACATCAGCTTGGGACTTAATAGTTCTGGCAATTTTCAAATCATCTGCGAATAGTAATATATAGAATGATAGGGCGTTGATGAAACTACTATACTGAAAAATAAAAAATGTTTCATAATTTTATATTTATTCTAACAAAAAAATAAATAACACTTTAATAGTATAACGGCGCATATAATTTATATTATTTAAAAGAATTTCTAAACACAAATAGATATGTTGTATTCATGATGTAAAAGAAAGTTGCTTTTCCGTAGGCCAATTTGAAAACCGATCTTGACAAACTGATTATATCTGTAACTAGCTTGAGTTCGCGACTTCGCTAGCATGAAAACACAAACAACTTCATGTTCATACTGGGATAGCTTTTATTTTCCCGAAGGAAACTCATATCCATACCATTTCTATCTGTGCGGAAATTTTAAAACAAAATATCTATATTAATTAAGGCGCCTAGTGTTCTTGAATAACAAGCACTAAAATACTAACCATATTTTCGTATTATTTCCAACATATCGTCATTATCATCATCATCATTACAGCCTATCAAAAGTCCACTTCTAATCGTAGTCACGTGTGGCAACTATGGTAAAGATCCCCCATCTTTACCACCTTTCACACATCTTTGCCACACGTGGCTGGTGGATTGTCAACCGCAGTTTTTTTTATTTTCTTGATGTTATTTGCGGGACGCAGCTGACCATTTCCCGGTTTATTTCCCTCTGTCGCCTCCTGCGACACCCACGGGAGGATATGGGGTAGTAGTAATAATAATTATTTCCTCCAGCCCTAATTTCGCTCACGGCGGCCAGTCTTAACGGAGACTAGCCATCTGCGCTGGACAGGATTAGGATAGTGCCCAAGTGTATGCGCAAGCACAGGTGCACTCTCTATTCTCTCACTCTCATAGTCCGATGAGACGGTAAATCGACACGATCGAAGAGAGATTGAGAGAAAAGTTTTACGTGCTTGCCAAGGCACGGGAGTGAAAAACCGCCAACTTCCTAATTCCGGGCTGTTACTGAAAATTTCTTGATAAGAACCCAATAAGTGAACAAAAAGGATATGAGTTTGTGGATATTCTTACACTGCCACTCACAGTTCAAACTCACATATTATATCTTCTCCTTTATCATCAACCTTTAAAAGTTTGCTGATAGTCATGGGCCTTAAGGGGAAATATAACCTCAAATGGCTTAGCAAGATCCTCCGTTATGCCGAAAATATTGCAGCATTAATTTTGAAATAAATATATGGTAAAGTTGAGGATTAATGTTAAGTACTATGTTGGAAGAAAACATGATTCCGTAAAATTTTCTCGATAGAAAAAATCCAAAGTTACCTCCAAACTGAACAATAAACCGCTGTTATTCATAAAATACTTTAAAAAAGATCATGAAACTTTGCATACTAACTGAACTAACTATAAAGCAGGGTTTATGTTTTATTTTATTTTCACTGTAAAAAGAAATTACTTAAACTATCGGCGTCCTGAAGCTTGGAACCGGTCGGCAGGAAATAGGGCCCTTTACGATATCCACGAGATGGGATTGTAGAACTGACACTCTTACGTCCAAGCCTACGAGTATGTAATATTGGTATGAATTTCTGAAGTTCCTAATCGTATAGTGTTTATACTATAAATTATCTATCTGTTCAAGATAGTTTTTTTAACTATCCTAAGC